TGACCAAATGGAATGTGGAAACAATTAAACAAGATCATTAATACCACATGCAAGTAAAATTTGTATTAGAAAATATTTCTTTCTCTTCCTTCTTCACTTTCGAAGGATATTTTTGCTGGGTGCAGAAATCTAGGCTGGTAAGTTTTGTTGTTGTTTTTCTTTTTTTCAATTCTTAAATATTTTACTCTACTCTTTTTCCTTGCTTGATTTCTGAAAAGAAATGTAATGTAATTATTCTCCATGTTTTTCTATTGGTAAAGTGTTTTTTTTTCTTCTGACATAATGATTTGTTCATTGTCTTGGATTTCCTTCAGTTTGAATATGATATCCTTATGTGTAGATTGAGAAGAACCAAATAGGTAAATAAAAGGAAGTTCAATAAACTCAAATATATAAACTGTTAGGGAAAAAGTTGTGTGCCCTCAAGTCAATTTCAACTCATAGAAACCCTATAACTCCTCCCACTTTTATAGCTATAGTATGATTCATAGTAACTCTATATAGGGAGCAGAAAGTCTCAGCTAGTGGGTTGGAATTACTGACCTTGTAGTTAGCAGTCCAGTGCTTCTCTTACAATGCTACCAGGTGTCCTTTGTTATTGTTGTTGAAATGGTTCCCACTCATAGTGACCCTGTTTAGGTTTCTGTCACCACTCGTCTATCAGTTTATCATACTGCAGTGGCTTGTGTATTGCTGTGATGCTGGAAACTATGTCACCAGTATTTTAAATACCAGCAGGGTCCACTCATGGAGGACAGGTATCAGCTGATTAAAATAGACTAGGATGAAGGAGAGGCAGACTACTTCTTATTGTTTAGCCACTGAAAACATAATGAATATTGAAACTTGATGGATAAAATCAGGGTATTGTCAGATATAATGCTGAAAGATGAGCCCCTCAGGTTTGAAGGCACTCAAGTTCTTGTAGTGTTTTCCTGAATTATTCTTAAATTTTTTCTGTGCTTTCCTTGCTTTCCTAAATTCTCTGTCATTTCTCTGAAGGTACTTAAATATCATTCATTTGAATTATTTTTCAGTTTGTTCCATGACCTCAAAAACATTTCTTGTCTCTGCATCTTTTTCTTTTATTTGTGCCATTTTCTCTTGTTTCTTTGTGTGAGATAAAATAGTCTGTTGTCTCTGGGGCATTTTGAGGTTGTTGTATTTGTAAAAGAAACATACAGTGGAGTTATTGGATCTGAAGGAGAGAAATCTCTGGTGGGCTCCTGCAATTCAAGGACCTCATATGGTGGTTATGGAAGGGATGTGACAGCAGACTTCCTGGCCCTAGATGGAGTCCCTTTTGGCCTCAGTGTTGTCTGTGTTCAGGGTACTCAGTCCAGAAGTAGTTTGTGGGGACCCTTGATGGAGTTGGTTTCAGTGCTTGTTAGGACCACAGGCAAACCAGGGGCAGGGTGACTGGTTAAATGCTGGTCTGGTGGCTCTGCAGGTTTTGTAGGTCTGGAGCCAAGCCCACCTGGATCCAGGCACCAAAGAAGCTCACCAAAATGGTGCATATAGTGCCTAACTCACACTGGTGTGGATCCCAACCACATGACTCTGAACTCCCAGAGAGCCGTCTGTGCTGGGGGGTGGTTGATGGTGGGAGCTGGCCATACCTCTGGTCACCAGGGGAACATAGGGAAAAAGAAGAAATTGCACCTTTCCTATCACCCAGACGAATCTGCTCTGCTAGGCTTCCCTCCATTGCCAAAGCTGCTTACAAGATGGTCGATGTGCATCTGGTCAGCCATTCACCACTCAGCCACCCTCTCTTGCCATCCTTGCTGGGTGGTCTCACCACCCAGCAAGCACTCCATTCACCTCTCTAACCTTTTTTCTGAAGTTCAGGGTGCCAAAATTTATACTTGTGTCTGTTTTATTTGGTCTGTTGTATCTGTGTTGTAGAGGGTCCATGTAGTGTGTCTGCCTAGTCCACCATCTTGCCAGGAGTCTCAAGAAAACTTAAAGAAACAATCTTTGATGGTTAAAAGGGGAGGCAGAAGAGGGGAGGGAAAGTTATTCGTGGGCTAGAGGATGAGACACATGTTAACATGAGTGACAGGGCAGGCAATATACAATAAGAGGGAGGTCAGCAGAGGAAAAATAAAGGTAGCAGGAGACACAGAGAAGAATGCAATAATTAAAATGAATACAGGTAAATACTGTTAACTGATGATACATAGAGGGGATTGCAATCACTGTAAAGATCATATACTTACATGATTTGTTGAATGTAAAACTGATGAACTGCTAAGTAAACCTTCACTCAGTTTACAATAAAAAGTTAGGGAAAAAAAGAGGAAGACCCTCAGTGAGCTGGATTGGCACAGTGGCTGCAACCAGGATCAAACATGGCGACTGTGGGCGGCGCAGGACAGAGCACAGGCTTGTTTTAGGGACATGGGGTTGCTATGAGTCAGAACCTACTCGACAGCACTGTACAAGCACTAAGGAAATGGAGGCTCCATAGAAGAGAAGCTTGGCCAACATCACATACATAGCAAGTGAAGAGCTAGGAATCAAAACAGTGCAACTCCAGAGCCTGGGCTCTTCATCTCTCCCCAGTGCTGGCTTGTTTGAGTTATTTCAAGGCATTTAGTGTCCCGTGAAAATGTCACTTGTTTGTTTCTATATTAGAATACTTCCTTCGTGACTGAGGAGACATTGTACCTCCAAGTATAAAGCTGTGCCTAGCACATAGTAGGTGCTCATTTGTTATTGAATTAATGATTAAATGCTGCTTAACAGAATCTGAAGAGTCCTGATGTGGCACTGTAGGATAAGTACTGGACTGCTAACCCCCAGTCTGCAGTTCAAAACCACAAACTGCTCCTTGGAAACCCTATACAGGGTCACTATGAGTCAATACTTAACAAAGATAACAACAACAGAATCTGAAATAAAGAGTTTGGCTAGCTAGCTAATTTTTAAGTGCTTAAAATGATTTATGTATATTCACTTTAATCATTTATTCAGATAGAATATTTTCTGGATTGCTTAAAAAGATGAATTGCACAAATGTCTTGACTCTGAAGATAGCACAGTATTATGTATCCATACAGACATGTAGACATCTTGACAATACAGAAATCTAAACTTCCATACAAAATTTGTAGGCTAGTGCTGTCTCAAACCCATCCTATGGGGAAGAGCGTTTATTTTATGTTTCTAATATTCACATCATTGTCCTTTGGGTAACGTAGTCATTACGAGTCGGGCTGCTAACCTTAAGGTCATCAGTTCGAAACTAGCAGCTGTTCCACGGGAGAAAGATGAAGTTTTCTAGTCCTGTCATGATTAACAGCCCCGGAAATCCTCTGCCGGGTTACTGTGAATCGGAACCGATTCCATGGCACTTAAACAACAACAAGACAACAACGAAGTCCCTGGGTAGTGCACATGGTTGGAAGTTCAGTTCAGAAGGAAGGCTCTTTACAAGGAAGGACCTCAAATCTACTTCCAAAGCAAATCCCTAACAATCCTATGGACACAGAGCTACTCTTAACACACATGGTGTTGGCATGAGTTGGAGTCGACTCAACAGCAACTGGTACTGATGAGACGAAAGAAAAACAAAACAAAACAAAAGAGTGAAAGAAAGAAAAAAGCCTGCTTGCTTTAGAGGGACAGGCTCCAACCTGGCTTTGCTATGAGCAGCTCCAGGTTCTAAAAAGACCTTGGATCATTCTCACTTCCCATGTCTCTCACTGGCCAATTCAATTATGTCTGGTGATTGCAAATGAAAGACAACTTTAGAAAAGTAGATATTACACAGAACTGAAGAGGCCCTACTGCCAACAGGAGCCACCTGGGACAGCAGATCACTGAGCCCTAGCTGTTCCTGGAACCACTTTCCTATCATCCCTTCTCGTCGTTTCTCTTGTTTGACCTCCACCTTTCTTCCTTTGACGAACCTCCTTCCTGCATGTATTATTTGCCTCCTCACTGAGGAGTTAAGTGAAAACATGCAGCTGCTGCAGAAGCAGTGTGTCTCTGCCAGTGAGTGACATTGGCTTCCAACCACATCCTCTAAGCTCACGCTGTGAAACAACTTACCTTCCCGTGTAACTCAGTAACTCCTGTGTGACCTTCTTTCCCTCCCAGTACCACAACATGGCCTTTTGAGTCTTCTATGCCCTTTGAACTTTCATCCTCCCAAGCGTTGCTATATATAAAGCCATTGTTGCAGCCACTATGACCATCCATCTCTGAGAAGTTTCCTCTTTTTCACTGACCCTCTCATTTACCAAGCATGATGTCCTTCTGGGCTTTCAGGTCTACCTTCTTTACATAAACAGCAACAAACCAAACAATTACTGTGGTATCAATTTTGACTTAAGGTGACACCATGTGGGTCAAGAGGAGAGCCATTGGGTCTTTAGTGGCTTTTTTTTTTTTTTTTT